AGATGGATGGATGGCCGGATGGATGGATGAATGGCTGGATGGATGGCTGGATGGATGAATGAATGGATAGATTATAGATGGATGAATGGATGAATGGATGGATGGATGATGGATGAATGGATGGATAGAAGATGGATGGATGAATGGATGGATGGATGGCTCAAATGGATGGATGATGGATGGATGGATGGTGGGCTGGATGATGGATGGATGGATGAATTGAAGAATGTTAGTTTTAATGTGAATATATTTAAAGGTCAAATCTGAAAGCATGTGACCGGAGTGAAATTACTTAAACATGACAATAATAAAGACCCAGGGCCAGTCAATGAAGCAGGTACATGTTAATTAAAAAGAGACAGGAAACACAAAGTTAAATCTAACTTATTCTCTCTTCTTTCTTTTTTTTTGCAATTTAGGGAGAAAACCATAAAACTTTTCAAGTTATTACCAACAGAAAGCTTGTTTTTAACTTGAGAAACTCAAAGAGGACAGGCATGAGGCATGAACTACTGAACATCAGACATGTGAGAGTACCAAACCTGGATGCTGAGCAGCAGGGAGTGGTAGCGGGTGGTCAGCTGGGTGGCAGTAACACTGACACGACTGCTAATGTAGGTTTCCTCCAGAACCTGCTGGGCTAAAGATGAGAGACCATCGACTTCTCCCTGCTGTGCAAGCACTGCCTCAAGATAGCCCTGATCACAACAGACAGAGGGAAAGAAATGTTCATCAATTATTATATCTGAACGTGGTTTAAATTCAGTCAGAATGATTCATAATTTACCTGTCAGTTCAGATTATATAGCTACGGTGTGTAAATGTTAGTAATTATGATGGAAACAAGGACTGAAAAATCAGATATGTGTCCCATGCTGGAAAAATGAAACACAAAAAGCAATTATTCTACACAGAGTTATTTTTAATTTTAAATATCCATCTCAAAACCTTCAAAAGGATTTGTAGTTCACTGAAATATCACAATTTATTACCTGGCTAGCAACAAGCTAGTTTTATTTACAAGGACACTGATTCAAACATTAAAAAAAATTTAAAAAATCATAAAAAAAATTTTTCATTGGTCTAGAATGATGTCATCAGAAATTAGATACACCGTATATTTAAAAAGGGGACTGTCCAAGTTTTATAATCACACTAAACATTATAAGATGGGATTTACTGATGCTATAGCAGCCGACAAAGAAAAAATGTTAATTTCAAAGGAAATTATAGGGGTTATAAGACAAAGAATTATTTCTGAAGACATACCTTGCAAAATATTTATATTTAAAGGTAAATTAGAAGGATTATATACTAGTTTAGTTACCAGGATTGCTAGATGGTGTCTTATGAAGTCATTTTTATGCAAATCTATGTTTCCAAAAATCAGTAATTTCCATTTTTAGCACTGTGCTCATTTCAGCTCATTTTACCAGCATGGGTAACATGTCTTTGTGTGTCTTCTCATTAAAAATATACCTCAGGAGAAGCAGGGGTATGTTGTCCCAGCAAAACAACAGGGAATGTAAAAAAGTAACGATGCTTCACTGCTTTCACTCTGACAGACAAACAACTTTTCTTTGCCTTTTACACTCCAGTGAATGCACTTCAAGTGAGTAAATTGGGAGTTGTGTTGACGTGACTGCCAGTCAAAGAACAGATCTGAATCAAAACACATTTATTGTTTTAACCAGACGATTTAAAAGCTGCTGGACTACATACTCAAGTCTATTAGGTCAACTCTTTCCAATATGTACATTAAAATAATACAAGTGGAACACAGATTCTGAAGAGTTTGAATGATAAATGTTGGTAGTTTTTGAGTTGTGTTTTTCTTGAATGGAATTGAACATGGTTTTGTTTCTTGTCTGAGACGGTGCAGAATGACGGATTCTGGTGAGCGAAGGGAGCAGTTTTATCCACCACCAGGTGCAATGGCGGAGCCAGGGGGTGACCAACGGTGGCACTGGCCACAACAGCTTAATCTTCAGCCTGCGCCCGGCCACCCCAGTCATTTGAGAAAACTACGGTAATTGTTTAAGCAATATAAGAGCCAGAAAGCATTGTTTCCTCAAGTGATAGAGGTGTCCGGTTTACATATAATCTTTGTGGTGGCCATCTTGGATTTTGAAATGGCAAACCCATTTTCAACAGGAACCTTCCCAACTTCTAGATGTAGCCGCACACCAAAAAGGACGTCGGTACTTCCCTTATTTTTCACGTTCGCACGCTCACAACATTCACAGATGGAGTGTATTTCTAAATCTATTTCACTCCGGGATGGGGGACATTAAAGCAGAAATTTGATTGTATGTACTTGAGTATATGTTTAATAACTTTTTATTAATTTCATACAAAATCTGCAGGGTAAAAAATATACTGACAAAGCATTACTGGTTTTCCAGCACTATTTCGGTGCTTAAGATTATTTCTCAAACAAACTATTCCAATAACATTAAATCAAGCATCAATGCCCTTCGGAAGAGATTGTTCATGAAGAATCATGTCCATCACTGACCTGAAGTTTCTTCAGCTGAATTTGCTTTGTAGTTCTGTCTGAACGCTGATTATTTCTGATGTTGACCATCTTCTCTGTGTCCTCTAACCACTGAGCTAGGTTTAAGAACCTGTGGCCCATTTGCCTCAGTCGGGTTAGTGTGGAGTGCAGCTGGGCCCTAGTCTCCTCTAGGCGGTTCTGGTGGGCCGCCCACTCTTGTTTTGCAGTGTCCAGAGCTCGGTCCTCAATCTGAGGTACCCCCCAGGGGATAACTCTCTCTCTGCTGGTCAGCACCGAAGTGAGCAAAGACTGGCCTTTGGTGCAGTTTTCCTGCAGGCTCTTTGAAGGAAATAAAAAAAGAAAACTTTTGATTTAAAGAAAAGATTTTGAGATTATATGAACTTGAAATGCAGCAACTGTGAACAACGTGGTCGTAACAAGTACATCTGCACACTCGAGCCGGCCCAGATTCACCAGTTCTGTGCTATAAATGTAATCAGCTCCATCTTCATTTCTTCATCAGCTTCCTTTATGCTGCTGATTATCCATGCTGCTGATTTCTTGCCTTTAAGCCGCTGTATTCATACCCATCTGCTCACAACAGACTCATGTTCAGGCTGCTGTTTAATACATTAGTGTTTAATGTATATCTTAGATCTTATACTGTTTCTGCTTATACTTGATATTTTTGCTATTTTTGAGTGTAACTGGGACCTTGAGTACACAATTTCATTTCACCTCATGTGCCACATGTGATGCGAATGACAATAAAGAATCTTGACCTTTTATTTGCTCCGTCTCAGCATCGTATTCGCTCTGAACCTATGCTGGGGCAAACACCCCCATTAAGTTCAGCAGGTGTGAGCTATTTGCACTGTCTTTGCTGCAGAGCACTGCGAATCTCTGTTGTTCTCGCTGCACAACTAAATATGACCTTCTGGCTGCACTCTTTTTGTAAAGGCAGCAGATAGCTCAATGTCCTCACTTTCTTCTTCAGAAATGCAAATACCACTCATTCTCAGGAGACAGGAAATACCATAACCGATGCTAAATGCATATTCTAAACAGGGTTGGTCTTTAAGAAGTAGATGCTTTTTGCTTTAGCAGTTATATCCATGAATATGTTCATTCAATACATGAATAATACCTCATTTAAATGTGAGCAGATTGCACCAGTGCCAAGAGATGATGTGTAGTTGAGTGCCAATCGGAGGCAAAAACCTAACTTTGCAAGGTTTTGTGAATTAGATGGATGCATATAAATCACAGTTGCCCCCATACAAGTTACACAGACCATTAGTGAATCTGGGCCTCTGTCTGTTCATGACACATTGCAAACAAATCTCCACCATTTCACTACCTGTAGCTGCTGCAGCGTTTTCTCAAGTGTGTCCACGCTCCCTTCTGGATGAGACAACAATGCCAAAGAGGCCAGTTCTCGCTCCAGCCAGTCCTCAAACACATGCAACCCCCTTTGATATTCCTGATGAACCATTACGAGCTCATTGGCCTTACTAACAGCATTCTGCAAGATTGGAAACAACGCCAAAATATGAACTTACACAGACTTGACATTGCTTTACATTTATAGACTATGTACTTGTACGGTTACATTTCAAAAAGCAAAAAATAAAAACAACTGACTGTTTTAAATTTTATACTCGAAATGCATTAAAATTAAATGAGCATCAAAGATTTGAGTTCTAGATTCAAACGAGATTTAGACTAGAGAAAATATAACTCAGATGATTTAAAACATAAAGTAGATATTAAGAGAAATCTTGACGGTCACATTTAAAAACATCCATCCATCCACATCCATCCATCCATCCGTTCAGTAAACATCTACAACTCAACAACAAGGTAGTTAGAGGTAAACAAACAAAAAAAAGACATAGATACTCTAAAGCAGGGCTATTCAACTGGCGGTCCGGGGGCCAAATCAGGCCCACAATGAGCTAAGTTCGGCCCACTAATGGGTTCATTCTTAAATAAAACTAGATTTTTCACCATAAAACAAAGTTACTTAATGATAATAACTACTGGATATCTGGACCCTGAGCTTTTGGCTTTCATTAACTATGGCCCGCTGAGCAGTTTAGTTGAATAGTCCTGCTCTAAAGCCTATGTAAAATCATTTAAAAAACAAAATGCAGCTGTTGGTACCTCAGCTTTTTCTCTGAGTGTGTTGTATCGACAATGTAGCTGCTGCACCTCCTGCTGGGTTGTGTAATGTTCAGCCATGTTGGATCCTTTTGTGGCAATGGTCTCCAGAGGACTGCTGTGACTTAAAACTTCCTCATACAGAAGCTAAAACACACACAGACACACACAGAGAGCTTAGTGAACCCAGCTGGAAACATCTTGGTTTTAAATGTGCGCATGAACAACAAACGCCTCCTAATTAAGAGTTATTTAATTTATAAATAAAAGATGACAGCAGCTCAGTTTTTTTGTAGGAATAAAACTACTTTCAAAATCAAGATGCGATATTTCCAAACTAACTACCACCATAAAACAGAAAAAAAAAGTTTATATTCTAAGTTTTTATTTATTTTTGGAATGTGACACCTTCGTCCTTCCAAGGTTGGCAGTTTTATCTCTCATCTCTGAGTATTGCCTGTCAGAGCAGCTCAGTGTTTCTTCGACCCGATCCATCCACTGCTGAAACTGCTCCACGTCTTCCTGATAGCTGGTCCACTGCGACAGAGCGCCTTCCAGCTGACTGTAAGAAACAACACGGTCAGGTGAAAACAGAGCAAACGCACGTACAAGGATTTTAACGTGATATTTAAAGACCACATGGTCACCTTTTACACTGGATCGAAGCAGAAAGCAACGAGTCCCACGAGTCTTTGAGGTCTTGGATCTGTTTGCGGATCACTGGGACCCCCTCAGCTGAAGTATTTCTTTGGACTGCCTCTCCGCGAGTCAGGAGCATTTTTAGCTGGATCTCCCTCTCCTGACGAGCAGCCAGTAAGGCCTGTAGACAGAAGTGAAAAAACGGACATAAAATACTTTTAAGACGTGTAAAAACCTTTATTGTCTACACCACCGAAGAAATGAAAGATATCCCTGAAGTACATCCAACATTTGGTCATTTTGATGGACCGGAAAATCCAACAACGGTTTGTGGAACAAAGCAAGAACGAGAACAGCTCTTTACTGTAGGAACATCTGAAGGATTTTCATGTCAATGCACATTTACATCCATCCATCCATCCTATCTATCCTTTCTTCCATCAATCACTCCATCCATCCATCCATCCAGCCATCCTATCTATCCCTTCTTCCATCCATCATCCATCCATCCATCCATCCATTCATCATCCATCCATCCTATCTAGCTCTTCTTCCTTCCATTCATCCCTCCCTCCCTCCCTCCTATCTATCCCTTCTTCTATCCATCCAATCTATCCCTTCTTCTATCCATCCAATCTATCCCTTCTTCCATCCATCTATCCATTCCTCCATCCATCCATCCATCCAGCCAGCAAGCCAGCCAGCCAGCCAGCCATCCCTTCTTCCATTCATCCTTCTGTCAATCCATCCATCCATCCATCATCCCTTCTTCATCCATCCCTTCTTCCATCTATCCTATCCATCCCTTCCTCCATCCATCCCATTCATCCCTCCTTCCATCCATCCATTGTTTCAGTAATCCCATCCATCCCTTCTTCCATCCATCTCATCCATCCCTTCTTCTACCCATCCATCCCTTCTTCCATCCATTCATCCATCCACCCATCCATCCATCACTTCTTCCACCCACCCATCCATCCATCCATCCATCCACCCACCCATCCATCCATCCATCCATCCATCCATCCAACCATCCATCCCTCTCTCCCTCCCTCTCTCTGTCCATTTCTCCCTCTCTCCCTCCATCCATCTGTCTATCTGTCCATCATCCATCCATCCATCCATCCATCCATCCATCAATCCCTCTACTACTCATCCAAGACAGTGTCAATGAGGCAACAGAATTCTTATTCAGCACATCTTGTAACATTTTAAATGCATTTTGTTTTGGTCATAAAACTGGATATTTGTAAACTTGACTGAAATCCTTGAATCTAACCTGATCTAGAGATTAGCATTAAAAAAAAATCCAAATCTCTGGAAATTACTTAATGACATACTTTTTTGTTGTTCCTTTTTGTTTATATTTACTTTTAGGGAAGGAGCAACTTATGTGTTTGTCAAAACAACAACAATAACAACAACAACAAAACTAACAAACACACACTATGGGTGTTTACAAACAACTTGGAGCATTACTGCAGCACACTACCTGCAGGTGTCAGCGGAAAAACAGATCTCATCAAGGTGATGGTCATCTAACCCTCGGAGCAACAGACACAGTTTTAAATGAGTTTAAGCAAAGTTTAGATTACTTCAGCCCGAGCAGGTTAGACCTTCATTACACCTACATTTACACATGCCACACAAACTACTAAAAACATGTAAAATACACATCCCAGATCTGTAAACCATGCAAATCAATTGCATGAAACAGCATATTATCATGCTAAATCAGTTTGAAAGATTTATTTGGAGCCTGCATGGGTTAGGATTATTTTCACTCACTCTTCAGACACAATACTATGGTTAAACATTTTTTTTCCTTTTAGTTAAACGCTAAAATGGGAGACACGTGGTAAATTTCTGGTGTACTGAAGGATGTAAACATATAACAGGATGTAATTTCATTTAAAGTGTCATGGAAACATCTAACTACACCGGCATCAAACTATGCCAGTCGTATCTTGTTAACTTATTATGATGCCTCTGGTTAAAGAGACAGCTTTAAACTCATGCTTATAAAAATAAGAGAGCCGTCATTTGGCACAAATCATAACTGTTGACCAGAAATGTCCAACAACGTTTATGGACTTGTATTGTGTGGTTTCATCTGTGCAGCTGCTCAGTCCCTCAAGATGTGAACAACCCAACCCTGGTGCTGTTCATATTTTTAGCCAATCTTGTCTGAATGTAAATGTCTATTTGACGTCTAGGTCTAGGACAAATGTCTTCTAAACTTTAGCCAGAATTTAGACTTCTGTGAACATTTTAGATGTTGTTTAAATGTTATTTTTAAACAAACATTTTACATCAATGACCAACTGGGGCGGCTGCGGTTGACTGTTTAGAGCAGTCAGTTTGATTCCACCAGCAGCCACATGTTGAAGTGTCCCTGTGCAAGACACTGAACCTCTCATTGCCTCTGATGTGTGTCCCATCGGTGTATGAATGTGATAAAACACTGATTAATCTTTGTATAGATCTAGTAAAGTGCTGTATGAATGGGTAAATGAGGACACAGATTGTGTTGTAGGGAGCTTTGAGTATCTTGATCAGATAGAAAGGCGCTATATAAGTACTAAACATTCAAAATATGTTATTCATGTTCCCGATTCAGTTTCCCTGAATCATAAATAAAACATTAGGAGACGTGTTTCTGTTGCTCAATCACTCTCAGTGTCTACACACCTGAACCTCATCCCACACCCATCTTGTCTTACCTCCAGCTGTAACATGCGGTCCTCCAGCACACTCTTGTCTGAAGTGGCGGAGGTGCAGACGCTGATGATCCTCTGTGCCTCACACACCCAGTCCTGAAGCTCCTTAAGCCCCTGAGAGAAAAGCTGGTGCTCCCCAACGATGCGTTCAATCCTGGAGGCTTTGTCCTGCGGATATGAGAGCGCAGCAAAGTAAACACACTCTTCAAATGTTACATCGGTTCTACGAGATTTAAGAACAGCAGCCTGTCCTTATCAACTGTGCTCATTTTGTTCTGTTTGTGTTTAATATGAGAATAACAGATGTCTCCTGGGACTCCCTCACCACTCGCACTAAAGCAGAAGAAGCGTGCTGTCATGAGGCAAACATCTTAACGTGTAATTGTAGAGCGAACAAAGTAAAAGCTGGTGTGGTTTGCAGTGACTGAATGTCTGACAGGAAAGCAGACCTAAAAATAGCTCTCCAGTTCACCCTGCAAAGTAAACAAAGTCCATTCATCACTGCTGGGGTACTTTCATTGCCATGAGGTAAGTGTTCTGTGGTCAGTGTAATGTTTGTTGCACAATACATCAAATAAATTGTTTGAGTCTCGCCGATCTAATGAAAGCTTCAAAAAGGTTGAGAGTCCTGACACTTCTCAGCTGTGGCATTTTAGCTGTGCATTAGTGGATGAAGGTATGTTGCACAATCTTGGATGCTTTTTATGCTGGTGAGCCTGCAACAGCTAAGACCTTTAGAGGGTGAGGAAGATTAAATCCGGAATGAACACGAAACGAGGACAATGTATTGTTACATTTCAGGGACAGAAGTGCACAGAACAGCTGGAGAAGAAGAAAGAAGCCTGCACTGAGTGGCAGCGTTGTTACCTTGGTTAAGTTGCTGAGGGCTAGATACTGAGCTGACAGCTGAGAAACTCTGTGAACGAAGCCTTTGCCGGCTGCTTGTGCCTCCCAGAGATGGTGAGCTCTTTCTCTCAACCTGCCCAGCTCTACCTCCCGACTGACCATGTCCTCCAGCACACACTGGACCGGCACAAAGCAGACGGAGGAAGAGGAAGAAAAACAAAGATGGAGCAGTACGGCGTTAGTGTGTTAAAGAAATGACAGATCGGAGAGGATGGAAGCATCCATCGTATGACAAAAGACAGAGAGGAGGTATGAAATGCACAGGAAAAGTTGGCAAACTTGAGTTAATGTGTCACAAGTTTGAAAACAGCACGTCACACATGAATGAAAAAACAAAAACAGGAATAAGACACCATAAAACATCATCAGCAGTATATCTCTGGATGTTCACTTTCAGGAACACTGTTATTCAGGTGGACCCCACGGTGCAGAGCAGGAAAATAATAAGAGGCCACACAGGTTGGGGAGTATTGAAGTGACAGCGTAAAGAGGATTTTGCCAACACAAGCTCAAACACTAAAGCCTGCATGTATTGTATTGTACTTCAGGTACTGAGGGGGAGAAATGTAATTACAGACAGCGCCAGACAAAAGGAAACGATGGGGAAGTGCTACAGAGGCAAAAGAATAAATACAAAAATAGCTCCAAAGATAAGGATGGAGCTCTGAGATGGGCGTGATATTTTTTTTTTCCTCTGTTGTCAGTTTTATCTTTTTACCGCTTTGTGCTTCTTTTCCTTTCTTGTGTCTGGCAGATGTGGCAGGAGCCGTTATCGCTTCCAGAAAGAAAAAATATATAAATAAAGCCCTTTTAGCCACGCAGCACTTCAGCTTTGACAGAAGGAGAATTAATTAGATTTTCTGGACTTCTCCTCTGACTATTGTGTCAAGATGCAGCTCTGTTTTGATCCAGTGGTGCTCAACAAATGTAATTAGGTCCTTCCCTATTCCCAGTAGGTTTAAAATTGTACTTTAGGGAATCATATCTGATGAAGAGGTAACAATTTAAACCCCTACTTAATATTCACTTTGTGCGATAATGACAAGGTTTACTGCAGTTAAGAGAGGAAATGTGAGAATATCAGGGACTGCAGCGAAGAAAAAAAAAATCTAAATAGCTCTTTCTCTGCGACATATTATAGAAAAAAAGGATCCAGCAGTATAATTAAAAACTTTGCATAAACTAACAGATAGCTTCATGAATAACTAGAATAATTATACAAGTAATGTAAGTTAATGAGAACTGTGACGCTCCGAGCGAGGCCGAGCAAACGTGTCAAAATGACAAAATACCTGTAACTTGCTAAGCTCCTGTTTCTTGGCTGGAAGGTCGTGCAGCCGAGCGTTGCTCTCCTGAACTCTGACCTCTGTGCCGTTAAACCACTCCTGCAGAGGCTCGGCACTGTCCTCGAACGCTGTCATCTGGGACTGCAGGTTCTGGAGATGTAACACAGTGACAGGAAGGATTTATTCAGTGAACTCAGGAGGAAAAAATGCAGATTGAATCAACAATCAGGTCTTAGAGTCAACCCTCCATTTCTTCCTGTTTGGGTTCCAGTGAGACAAATTATATTGGATTCTTTTAAATGGGGTCTCACAAATATCTTGTCTTGTTTTCTAAAGGTCTGTTAGAGATATCAAAGTTCATGCTCAATAACAATGTTCAGTCAGGTCATCTGGACAGTTTCTTTATTTGCTATGACGTTTCATCCTTCATCCAAAGGACTTCTTCAATCTGAGAAGCCACCAAGCAAAACTGATTCCCACTAACAACATACTTCATAGTGGGAAAAAAAACAGTTTGCTGGTGCTAAGATGGCCTCTGGGGCCCGCCCTCTCCCTCGTCAACTCCTCTGAGACAGTCATGTCAAAGTGGTTCAAAGGACGAAATGTCTCGGCAAAAAAGAAACCGTCCAGATGACCTGACTGAACATTATTGGATTTTATACCTGGATTATTGAGCATGAACTTCTGTGTTACCACCAGCAAACTGTTTTTTTTTCCACTATGGAATGTGCTGTTAGTGGGAATCAGTTTTGCTTGGTGGCTTCTCGGATTGAGGAGGTCCTTTGGATGAAGGACGAAACATCTCAGCAAAAAAGGAAACCGTCCAGATGACCTGACTGAACATTGTTGAGTCTGTTAGAGATGTTTTAATGGACTTTAGCTGCTTTTCTCACTAATTTTCAGTTCAGTGCACATCTTTTGCAGAAGAATATTTCTGTTGTTGTTCGGGCCATTTAACGTTGACTTATAAATTATTTAGGTTTAGGATTACAGGTGTTAAGATAAACATAGTTTTACTCATGAATTAGAATTTCAGCACCAGCAGTAAGATTCCCAAAGAGCTACTAGCTGAAAACTTTGCGTACAGTCAGCAAGCTTCTTTAAAGCCCTGTCAGATCTTTGCTGATCACACCCTGAATCAAACATTTAATTATTTTTAGAATGAAAAGGAACTGAAGTTTGAATCTGAAAAAGGCTAAAGGAAGCTAACAAAGCACTTAAGTAGAGTTAATTAAATAAACATCGTCACCACCTTTTATAACACAGTTTTAGATTAAGATCATTTTACGTTGAGAAATTACAAAGTTGGTCCTGGTTCAAACTGTTATGGGCAATTTCATGAGATATCACAAGATGTCACACTCAATCTGTGTTGAAGATGACTCTCAGCTACTACCACATCAAACTTTAGATCACTATCTGATAAACTCACGGAGTTGTGACTAGCTGAGGAGGTCATTTTAATATAGATAGACTCCAAAGACAATGCACGTCCTATAACTACTTTCTGAAAGTTTTGTTAAAATTCACCCAGTAGTTCATGAGAAATTTTGCTAATAGAAAAAATGGGTTGACCGTAACTGTTATTGCTAAAGTTTTAAGTTTTAAGTAATAATCTTGCAGAATTTGTAGCGCTTGAAGTACAGTAGTCACTCGCTACTTCGTGGTTCGTTTATCGTGGACTCGCTCTATCGCAGTTTTTCAAAATAAGATTGGACATGACACATAACTGGCTGATTGATGAATGAACCGCACTACTGGCATGGAATTTTCATTTAAAATAAATTATTTCAAATGATTTAGCACCTGCTGCACCTTTGTGCAACCCATGCTGCAAGATAAACTTCCTGCTGCAGCTGATCAGCTGTTCTCCATGCAGAGCATAGAAGTGGGCGTGGCCAAGAATGCTTGCAGGTGGCTAAGAGCAGCAGAGGCAGGGAGCTAAAATCATGTCATTGTGTGCTCTTTTAGAGCGTTTAGTGTTTAGAAACATTGTTTAGAATATTGCAAGAATGTGGGAAGGGCTTATATATATATATATATATATATACTGTAGATATAAATAATAAAATAAACTACTACTTGTACTACTATTCCTGCTTCATGGTTTTTCACTTATCACGGTGCTTCAGGGTACGAATCCCCGCGATAAATGAGGGACTACTGTATATGTCAGAGTATTTAATGTGAATGACTTTTACAAAACTTGGAAATGAGCAATAGTGAAGTCTTTAACAATGCAAAGCTAAATTAATTAAAACCAACCTTGAGAGCATCTTCCCTCGTCTGCAGGTTGTTCATCAGGCTCTTCCAGTCCTCTCTGGCGTTTGCCACCTTGGCCTTGATCCCCTCCACTCTATCTTTGGACACTACAGCCATCAGGAGCTCCCCGCTGGCTCCTACTGTACTCAGTCTGGCCTGGCCGTTCTCTCTGTCACTCAGGAACTCCTGAGGGGAGGCACAAACAAAGACAAAGGAGATGTGATGATTTAACACAAACACACACAAGGAGACTGGCGTGAAAAGGAAAAGAGAGGATAAAAAAAAAACCTGACTGAATGAAAACTTCTTTGTGCCCTCTTCTCCTTATTGTATTTACGTCTGACTTTACAGTGGGCTAAGCATTAATTACACAATAATTACAGTCATTCAAGTCATTACTAATTCAACGAGCATTAGCAGAAGGAGGAGTCTGACACAAGATAGGAAAAGTCAGTAAACCTGAAACATGTTGGTTTCTATATAGCTTCTTCGTACCCACCCACTAACAATGTACACGCAGCCTACACACACCCAAACACACACCCACACCCCTCCCTTTGAGCTGATGACAGTAGCGCAGCAGGGACCACTCCACCATCTGTGCAGTCAGCACATCACTAGCACAGCTCCGATTTCCCTAAACACAAGCACAGAAAGTCTTTCACTCTGTCCGTCTTTATCTCCTTTATTTTTCTTCAGACTGTTTTACATTCATTCACTGGTTCTTTTTTCACATATTCTCATCCTGCCAACGTAAACTGTATAACGCCAATTAAGCGTGACACAGTTGATGCCCTCGCCCCTCCCACACTGGCCCTCCTGGAGGTCAGCCATGTGGAAACATTGTTCCACATTCCTCACCAAGTCAATAATAAATAAAACATGATTGCCTCCGTATTCCTCTGCGCTCCATAGACTTGATAAAATTCAGTTTCTTCCTCAAAAATAGTTTAAAATCTTGTGTAGAAGAAAGCACCCCCCCAAAAAAAAACCCCTCTATGGCTGCACTTCATTAGAAATATTGTTAGAAGACAATTGTTTTTTAAAACATTTGTTGCTTTGCTGAGCGTCTGAAATGACTTTGTTTGCGGCTAAGTGTTCAGCTAACGATGACTGAAAATCCCAAAACAGAGTTTAAACGAAGTTCTTGTTGTCTCAGAACAAGAAAGGCAACAAGCAAATATAAAACCAATCTTTTTAAGTCATGGTGCATGTGTCCATATGTCTGAGTGGTAATAAACTATCAGGTTGCAGGGAGGTGGAGACATCGATTTTTAACAGATAAGTATCTGACTTTCAGCCTGTCAGGCTCTAAAGAAGCTGCCAAAGACTCACAAAAGACCTCCAGACATGTCAGAAAGAAAGAGGCAGATTTCTTAAAGACAGGGGCAGAGGGATTCACAGTGGAGCTCCATCTCTCTCATCCCTTTTCTTTTCTTTTTTTCCATTCCTATATTATCCAGTTTATTGCAGAGCTCACCACTCCAACCAGCCCGAAACAGGAGAGTGACCATCTTCACAGTCAATCTGTTGTCTTTTATCATAGAAAGCAAATTGATTATATCACTATTGCATCATTTCACTTTTCTTTGTACCAGCAATTTTTACTACCAACTTTATGCAATAAAACAAGACCTGGTTTATAATTAACAGATGTGGATATGAAGTGCATTCAAATCTGTAGAATGATTGAAAAGAAGAAGAAAAAAAAAAGCCTGTTAATTTAATACCAACCAGACAAAAGAAAACGTTTAACCAGTGGTGGGCACAGTTCCACTAATCCGCTAACAGCTAATGATGGAACCAATTTATTGCTTAGCTGATTAAAGTTTCACTAACTTTGGAAACCGTTAGCGGAATTAGCTTACATTAACTTAGGTTTCACCAACTTTAAGTCCGCTAACATAAGCCACAAGCTAGTTCCTGTCTGTTGTGGGCGTGTCTCGAAGAGTCCGTTACGCATGCTATTGCTGACTATGTGCGCACGTGACAAGACGTGATTGGTCAACGCAGCTTCAGCTGGAAGGAGACAAAGACGTGTGATACAGACTAAATGACAGTCGTTTTAGCGGTGTGGTGTTGGCTTCAACAATTTTTATTTTATTTTAAACTGTTTAGCAGTTTAGCATTAGCAAAGCTAATTTTTAGTTAGAGGATTATTCATTCAACCTTTATTTAGACAGGTTAATCCCACGGAGCCTCGCGGACTCATTTACAAGAGAGACCCGATTTCAACAAAAGACAGATGACAACAGTGGACAAAAACAACAACAATAGGCAATCATAAAAGAGGCATAAAGATTTTTTTATGGGTTAGAGAAGCTCACTTTTTGGTTAGCTGTGTCCACAATCAAAATACCAAGTATCAAATATTAAAATAAAACCCATCACTGCATTAGTGGTGGTGATGAAAGGTCAGTAAAAATATGACCAGACAGCCAGATTCAGCGATTTGAGTAACCAGCTGACTAACTAGGTCAGTTTTTTTAAATTTATTTTATAAAACAATCGCTACCAGCCATGCTTTAACGTACTAAGATGGGGATACAGAAGTACTTATTGTTTGGTGTGTACTGGTCTATCAACAGGCATGTCAACAACAAATGGCTTCAGGACAAATTTAGGAGGAAGTTTAAATCATTCTGAGCCCTGAACTATTCCTATCATTGACTATCATCCTTACTACAAAAAAGATTATGTAATTTATTCAATCTTTATTTATTTTTCTATAAAGCATAGATGATTGTATTGAGAAAAAGTTACAAACTGTTACATTTTAGAAAAAAAAATTAACATAGAAAAATACAATTTGATACATTGTTAGATGCACTTTATTACAAATATCAGCATCAGTCAATAAAAAACCTTAATTGGTAAACTTCTATACATCAGAAAATCAATTAAAACATTATATAGCCTACAGGATTTCTGCAAGAATTAAACATATGTATTAATATTTCAATAGTTAAAACAATTGTGCTAATTCTGCTTAAATAAGCAAGAAAGTTCCAAGTGCATTGTTCAAACAAAAAATAAAAACACTAAAATTTGTGTTAATTTTTGTGACTTTTGTGTCCTGTGAGATTAGTGAAACAATAATAAATATCCTGATGCATGCTCAATAATCCAGGTAGAAAAATCTAAAAAAGTTAAATCTGGTCCTCTGGACATTCAAAAAAACCCAAAACAAAGCAAAACAA